GCCATGAAATGATGTCTTACTCGACCGGTATGCCATTCAAAAATTGTAGGAAGATTTGCATTTTTCAAAAATATTGAATAAGTATCTCCCTTCGATGGAAAACCAATGCTTTTTTGTGTGTCTCTCAAATGATGCAGTTCCGGGTTGTTTTGTTTTAATTTAGCCACCGTGTACACCAGTTTGGAGAAAGTCAGTTATATCAGTGCCGATTCAGGTGAAATACAATGCTTTTTTTTAACAACCTGTTCACCACATGATATCAATAACAACAATGCTCTGTCAGTTCGTTTAATAAACAATGAATGATTATCACAATCGATAATCTTCAGCTACCAAGTACACTTATATTTATTTTGCTTGGTCATCAGTCCGCAAAGGATTACAGTGAAAATTAATTCCAACTTGAACTAACAATAAGTGATAGGATTCTTTGATATTTCCCATTCATTCATGACATTGCCTTTGATCTGATGGAAATGAAGATTGTTGAATGTGATATGTTGGTGAAAGAAATATTTATGTCTGTCACTTCATCTCTCAGCTTGAAACAGTGGCTGATTAATGATTTTGATCATTGTTTTTTTGTAACAAAACACAGACGAAGCTAGCTAGCAGAGAAACATGGTTTTCTGATTGAACGATCAATACAGATTGCTGTAAGATTACTGATATAATATGTGTTTCCTTCTTAATGGGTGTACTGATGAAGAAACTTTTTCGGCAGTGGCTCCTACCGGCAGTGGCGCAAAAATCCCAGTGCGGAAATCCTAACTAGAGAACTTTACAATCACAGAATTAGAGATGAACTGCTTGCCAAACCCAACGGGTCTAGATCCTTCTAGTCCGTAGCTGAAGCTGCTAATCAAAACAGCTCAATATCAACAAGGAATCTGGCCTGATAAAGTTCCCGTCATTGTATCAAAAAGTGTGCAAATGACACACCAGTATTTTGCCGACTTTTCAACCTGTCTTACAAGGAAGGGGTTTTTCCTTGTTGTAGGAAGATTGATCGCGTTCAGCCTATTCCCAAAAAGGGCAAGAAAAATATTTCAAATAACTATAGACCTGTCACTTCGCTATCAGTGGTACCAAAAACCACGTAGGAAGACGTAAACCACCATATTCGTAAATACTCGGAAGGCTTCAACATCTTAAGCATCATCAATATGGCTTTCGGAAACAAAGATCAACATACGACCTTCTATATTCTATCGTATATCACTCATATTTGGAATAACACAATCCAGAAACATAGAGAGACAAGAACTTTCGCGCTGGATATTTCTGAGGCCTTTGAGCGTGTTTGGCATGAGAGATTCCTGGCCAAATTTCGATGCTGTGGCTTGTCGGATGATTATTGTTTATGGCTTTCCGGCTTCCTGAGAAAATGTTCCGTGCAAGTGGCTGTCGATCGATACCATCATCTCGAATACCATTTCGAATACCATCAACAGTGTTGTTCCTCATGGATCCAATTTGTCTTCAACCTTTTTTTATTGTATATCAACGACTCATTGGGAAAACCAATAATCCAATATGTTGCTTTGCTGACGACAACACACTTGTCTCGTCATTACAATTGGATTCTAGGACATCGGCTACGTATGCACATTTTCACGTGTAGCAGAAGGATACGTATCTCAATAGGGATCTGGAATTCAATGCTACAAAAATCCACGCATCGGTTTTCTGATAGGAGATAAATGTCTCCGAACTGGATATAATAATGTCAGGATAGACAATTTCGCTTTCTACTTCAATAAGTTTGTTGGGTGTTGAAATGGACACCAATATGTCATGGCAAAATCGTGTCGCTGGAATTGCAAAGGCTACTTCTCGAAAGCTTGGAATACTGTTCCGAACCAGAAAACTGTACAAACTCCAGCAACTTTTGATGCTTCATAAAGCTCAGATCAGACCTTCTTTGAAGTGTTGTTCACATGTACACCCTAAACCTGCTGAATTCCTTTCAGAAAAGAATCATTCGCTTGACTGGAGACACGAACATCACTTGCAACCTTGATAGTCTGGAACTTTGAAGAAAGGTTGGAAATATGTCTCTCTTTCATAGATACTTTCATAATTATAGATTATTCCACCAAGACTGATACATATATCAGAAATACGCGATGGACTGTGTGATTCAAATACAATGTGAATCGCAACTTCCGCACAAGCAGGACTCTTAAAGTCTCTTATGGAATTTCCTGTAGTGCTCGTGTTTTGTCCTCGAAAAAAAATTTTGAAAGTTACATATCACCATTGGTTAGACGGAAGCTGGATGATTAGCGTGAGTGGTATGATCAACTCTAAATAACATAATGAACAACCAACAGAAAACAGAGAATATATGGAAAAAGTTGGAATCATCGTTGAGATTCATCCATAGGGTACAATTTTTATTGATTCGACAGGTTCTGAATCTCATTAGCTGTCATCAGAACGGTAAAATCAAGTGCAAAATATAACCATTCTAACTAACAATCGTGGGAGTCATTACACAAAACTGAATATATGTAATCATATTACTTCATTTTGGACAATTTCCAAATACTGGGGTACAAGAGATACTGAAAAAGGTGTTTACATCAATATTGAAATATAGATTATTAGAAGTATAGGTTTCTGTAATGATTCCATGTCACGAAATGCAAGCATACATACACTGCAATTGTTCATTCATTGATGTAATAACGTTCCTATATCCTTCACCGGAATTGATGTAGGTAGACACTTATTCTATTATAAACACTAAGTTTGATTCACTTATTGATATGAATTTATGAACGCAAAATCTATCGATAACCAGTAAGTAGAATGTCAGGATGATTTATGACGAATTATTTCCTAGTGAAATATTCACAGCTGAAACTCTTATTTCGAATTTCATTATGTGATATATTTTATTGGTAATTTTGTAAAGGAAACGCATTAGTATCGATTACTTCAAACTCCAACTCAATCAGATCCAAACTACCTAGTCTTAACAATTTTCGAAGCATTCTTTCTTGTCTGTGAGAGGATACACAAATTGAAAGAATCAGATGAAAGAAATTCAACTGAATAGTAGAAAATTCAGTGGGTGTTTACAGATACAAAATTTTCTGGTCACAGATACACCAAAATGTACCAGATTTGGTGTTTTTCTATTAGAAATGAATTGCAACTTTCCGCAACTGGAAGATAGTGTTTTAAGAAGTAGTTACAGTAGCCCAGCTGAGTTTAATACATCAAAGTCAGCTATTCAAAGAATAATCTAGGAACAACTGCTGCATCCATACAACACCCAGAAAGTGGAAGTTATGACTCTGAAGACTACTTGTGTCTTCCAAAAAATCAACTGTTATATGTATGTTTATTATCCTGTAGTGAAAATTGGTTGTCATGACGAAAAATTACGAAAAATTACGAAAAAAGAAGTACAACTTGGAGGTATAAAAACTGTTAGAAGAACTGAAAGATGAGTAAGTTTGCTGCTGGTTATTGATGTTTCAAAAGGTTAATAACATGGTGTCAGGAGAAGCTACTGGTCTGTGAGAATTCCAGTCCATAATTCAAAAAAGTATATAAAAAAATCATTTTACATTTGGTGAAGTCAAAAATGATGTCTCTATAGAAACCCCCGAGCCCTTTAACTGATTACGAAATTGAAAATTGGTCGATTTGGAAACGAAAAGATAACTATGATAAAACTGCTGAAGATTCACCTGTATTGAAAGTAGAAGACAATGTAATGGTTCAGAATGATAAAACTTGAAGGATATGAAAGTGAAAAATATAATTGATTCAAGATCCTACAATGTAGTTGATGACACTGGAAAAATGCTTGAAAGAAACAAAACATATCTGAATGAGACTCAGTTTACTAGTTCTTTCGATAATATGCTTTTGATTTATGATTATAAATTAGAAAATGAAACTGGTCATTTTCCTTTCTTGTAATTTAGACTGTCTGCATTCATCAAATATCGATCTTAATGATGATAATGATATATTTGCAGCCAATTGCAATGAGTTGGAAGAATAATTTTGTGAGAAATTTGTATTATTGAGATCAAATAAAAAGAAAAATCGTAGAAAACCTACGTATTTGGAAGAATATGTCACTGATTCAGATTCAGATGATGATTGATTTGTTGATATTGAAATTTGCGTTTTTTTTCGAGATTATTATTCCATTGTCATTGGTTTTAATTTTGTTTGAGAAAAGGGGGAAACGTGTACCCTGTATAATGAATTATAAACTACGCTGGTTGTTGGGGCGAAAGAAAACAAGAATAGAGGTACAACTTGAAAGTACAAAAACTGTCAGAAGAACTGAAAGATACTTATGATGCACTGTTTGGAACCTTTGGTGTAATAATGAATATTACTGGAGTTTTTTCCCAACACCAAATCGTTATTTTTAACACCTCGACACGTGTTTCGATCACCAAGTGATCATCTTCAAAGAGGAAGATCAAAACTAAGAACTAGTGCTTAGTTTTAATCTAATTACGGTAATCTAATTACGGGTCGTTCTAATCCACTTATGCTCATAAAATTCAATATTCCCAAATATCTTTTCTCAAGCAACCCATACATTTTTAATTCTTTGATTATTCCTTTTATCCCTAATAACGGGAATTACTCGTTATTATGATCTCTCATACCTATGTTGATCCAAACCTTCATTTATCCCTTCAAAGACCAATCTGAAACCCCTTATCTAAAATACCTACCAATGTGAAACAGTGCATTAATTCATTACGTTTCAAACCTTGTACAGTACAGTTAAAATTGAATCTTGTTTTGTCTACAGTACATTTAGCTACTTATTTTTCTCATCCCATCTTTTCACAAGAGTTACTGTAATTCTTGTGTGCATTGAGCATTCATAATCACGATAAAACAATCACCAGAATACAATTATTAAATTATTATCGTTTGGGATTTCATCAACATTTATTGATTTTCACGAAACATTAAATACCAGTATTTTTTCTGTGACATACTTTTTTGATTGACAGGAATTTAATACTTGTCAAAATGAGAAACCAGCTTATATTTTTGACAAAGATTGAACACTTACGAGTTTTCACAAGATTCTTCAGTAAATGCCCACCTGATAACAAAACCAAAAAAACCGATGGAAGCAAAGAAAAACGAAAAGATGACGGAGAAGACGTTCCTAATAACATGTTCAAAGTGTTCAAGAAAGGTGAATGGAGACCCTATTCTCCATTCCAAAATACAAAAAACTGGGCTGAATATACAGTTGCTCGTCTGGATGATCTTCTGAATTGGGGACGGAGTCGATCTTTGTGGCCCATGACATTCGGACTGGCATGTTGTGCTGTTGAAATGATGCAATTTGCGGCTCCAAGATACGATATGGATAGGTTAGTTAAAAACTAGTTTTTTAATCCCATTTTTGGTTTGGAGTGAATTATTCTCACCTTTCCCGAATATTTCAAACAAAGTTTCAGCAAAAATGTTCAGTCTGGTTATGAAGCTGCATATACCAGAAGATGATTTTTATGTTTCACGTAGAAAAAGACTCAATGTCATAGATTCTGTTTTCAGTATAACCTAATTGGAAAAATATGTTAGTGTGAGATACAGGTTATTCAAAAAACTTATTCGGTTCGATAAGAATAAGAATATCCTGGTCGACCAGGATAACGTTTATATTTTTATAAAAACATTTTAATTAGGTACTGTATTTAAAATATTCAGAAGAATTATTTTCTCATCTGTGATTTGAAAGTGTTCCATTTTTTCATATAACGTAATTCAGAAAGTGGAAGAGAATACAATTTTACTTATAGTCTACTCCCTCTCCACATGTTTCTGGAGAGAGAGGCTAGATGGACTCCATATAGACTTGTGCCCATTGCCAATTGAACAAATCGAACTAATGCAGAGTGCTACAGACAGTTGGTTGATACTGGAAGTTACAGCATTCTGGAAATGACCTCTGACTTTATGCCTCCAATTGTCAACTACGAACTGCCTTATAGAGTACTATTCCCGAACAGACAGGACTGGACCTCCGGGAGAAGGAAATATTACGAGCAGATAGTTATTGGTTCACAGATGGATTGAAAACACCATCCAATTTTGGTGCAGGTGTTTTCAGTCGCAGACCCAGGACAGATATATCAACCTGCCTAGGAACCTATGCGACTGTATTTCAAGCGGAAATTTACGCTATTGAATTGTATGCGGATAGATTGGAAGAATCCAATCTGATGCACGAGTCAATAAAATATATCTCGGAGGGTCAAGCGGTGTTGGAAGCTCTTGAATTCTACCGAGCAACGTCTAAATTGGTATCAAATTGCCGAAAACGTCTCTCTTCGATAGAAAGACTCAACAGATTCTCTTTGGTCTGGATTCCTGGCCATACTGGCCTGGAAGGCAATGAGGCCACTGACTCCCTTGCAAAGGAGGGTACTGCAAGCAGCTTCATCGGACCAGAACCTGTCATTGGCATCGCTTTAGGCTTTGCCAAACAAACAACATTGAACACCTGTATGGCAAGAAGATTCATGGACTTCTGGCAAAATCTTCCAGGATTGACTCACTCCAAGGCGTTTATTCATCCTTCGAAACCAAACCACTCGATACCAAACAGTTGTATGACAATATCGATGAACTCTACGATGTCCAACAGGCCTTCTTACAGGTCACTGTCATTTGAATCATCATATGCAGAGACTCGGACTGACGGAAGACAGGGTGGGTTGTCTCTGATGAAACAGCAGAGTACATACTTTGTGCCTGCCCCGCTGGGGACCGAACCAGGTTTTTAGACATCAGCAGAGCCGTACTCATACCATCTGACCTGAAAGACCACTCATCATAAAAACTAATCGGCTTCGTTAAGAAGCTGGGTTTATTTGGCCGAGTGTGAATAGGTGTGAGCCACAATAAACCCTCGCGGGTTGCGGTGGAGGGTCGAATAGACCCACTCTGGACCTAAGCTACCGTAACCTAACTTATAGTCGCTAGTTCAAAATATTGAAATATTTTTATTGAAGTTCCACCAATGAAATTATACATTTTGATTTGATTGGAAATACAATGTACAGCCAAAGCTGAAACCTTGAACTCATAGAGAAGAAGTCAAAAATAAGAAGTATTCACGATTAAATTCAAAATATCTTTCAAATGAGCTGCAATTCAGTTTCTTTTTTCATTTTGAATACTGCCTGGGCGCTAATTTTATTGCATGCACCGCTTTTTCAGTTAGTATTACCCGTCAAAAAAGAGCTGTTGAAATTTCATAATTTTCTACTCATGCAGAACGCAGTAGACGTCTAAATAATGAGGCAGTAACACCAGAAAACATAAAAAATCCACAGAAGTGGCGTGAGTTAGGTGACATTACAAATATATAAAAAAATTGTGTTGGCTTTATATTGCTTCAGCATTTGACTTGATGATAAATCTCTGTTCAAAGTGGGTGCCGCGCGAGCTCACCAAAAACAAAAACGCCTCGATGATTCTGAGCAGTGAAGGGGTGACTTTTTTACATGAAACACTGTCATTCTCAAAGGCGAACATCAATGGTACGGAATGAGAAGCTTGTCTAAATATATATAACCAATCTGAATAACATTACAATTTATTCATAACATTACGGTTCTATGTCATGGAAGAGTTAAACCTACTCATGTCACCGATGTTAGTAAAATGATTTCTGCTTATTTTATTCAATCCCAGCCGAAAGAATTTTGTTTAAATTAGACGGGGTACATTTTTAGGAGAGATTAATTTTTAGGAAAGAAAGGTTATGGCGTTTCACAATCGTCTATGGGGTTGGTACCTTTGTGGTTCGTACTTATACGAGTTTCATTATTTAAATTTTTTTAATGTGTTTCAAAATTTTTTGTTTTCCTCTATGAACCTATTTTTGTCAGCTGTTTCAGTTCATTCCATCCTGAGATCTTCAATAGTGATATAAATATCATCGAAACTCTAAAGAGTTTTGCAATGGAGGAAAAATTCATCATTGGGATTCAGGGAATATAATAAAGGAAAAAAGAGAATTGAAACTTTCTATGTTTTTTACCACTTTCATTTGTAACTTACGTTACTGCAGTTTCGTTCTATTAGGACATTTTCAAACAAATACATTATTATACAAACACTCATACAAACTTATACATTGAATTTGATGTATATATACATTATTTCACAAACACTTCTACAAACGTATACATTAAATTTATTGTATAACTTTGAAAATGTCCTTATAGAACGAAACTTGCTACGCGATGTTTTTGAACAAGATAATTAAATTTACAATAGGGTTGCCAAAAATCAAAAACACCACTAACATGCCCGACTAGGTCAGTGGTTTGCACAAAGTCGTGGGTGCAACTGATTAAAAAAAAACAATGATTTTTAACTAAATGGGGAAGCGCCACCAATTTTTGTTGGCCAGTTAAAAACCGGAAAACTGCCCAGTTATTGGGGAAGCCCACTATTGAAATATTTAACTTCTCATAAAAGTAATAATTCTATTTGTAATGACTAAGGAAGTTTATTACAATAATAAAAAAAAAGAAATACAGTGATCCCTCTGTTTGCCAATTCCTCACCTCAATTGCTAGATTACTACTATCATAATAATATGTGACGTCACGTAAAAGCTTACACCACTCATCTCAATGAAGTAACCTGTACATTTTATTATAGGAAATAAATAAACACCGGGTTCTTTATTCAAATAACTTAGTCTAAACTTAGCTGCTTTTCGAGTGCTCCTTTTTCGTAAGCTGCCAGGGAATGAATACTGATCCGGCAGTATCGGTGGATACGGATGTAGTAGGAATCTGTTAATATTTCCAGTGGTAATTATTAGTAAAGGTAACGATCAGGAAACTTCTTCAAGAGACTGAAAAGGTAAGAAAAATAAGGAAAAAATTTATTATGAGTTCCATAGCTGAGTTGAACAAGGTTGTTTGAAAATACTGTACTAACCTCCTAATAATCGAGGGTGTTTCCAACACAAAACAGACAAAGATCGTCCTCTGAGAATTGAGAGAAAATACTGACTATTTGCCCTTTCTATAAAAATCCTGCTTTTGCAGCGGTAGTTTCCAATACTGTCCCAAAATACTCCAAACTTCACAATATCTAAAAGGAACCACAGTTCACAATCGAAAAATATCTTTTCGCCAAAATTTCCGTCCTTATTCTTATGTCCTTGGGTGTGAGAAAAAAAGGAACACAACCTATTTACCGACCTAGTCGGTGTCATAGGCGGGTTAGAGAGGTTTTAAATACACATAAATTCGCATGTGGAAATGAATAAACTAACCGATTATTAAAAGTATAAATAAATTGTTTGATTTATAACAAAGCAAAATTGTATCGTAACAAACTGTAGTAACGTGAGGAAAAAATAAAAGTGGTTAAGAACATAGAAAGTTTCAATTCTCATTTCCTACCACGTAGTAACGGCTACATCCATCAATTTATTGAATAAAATAAACTCAATTTCTAGATATGGCGTGGTGTTTCGTGCATCGCCGCGACAGACAGACGTCATCATTGTAGCAGGAACACTAACAAACAAGATGGCTATGGCTCTGAGAAAAGTGTACGATCAGATGCCGGATCCCAAATGGGTGATTTCGATGGGAAGCTGCGCTAATGGTGGAGGATACTATCATTATTCGTATTCTGTCGTCAGAGGGTGCGACAGAATAATTCCAGTAGATATTTATGTTCCTGGTTGTCCGCCTACTGCTGAAGCCTTGCTCTACGGGATACTGATGCTGCAAAGGAAGGTGAAGAGGATGAACTCTGTACAGGCTTGGTATAGAAAATAAAAATTGAAAGAGTTGATTGTACTTATTAGGAATATGTGAATGAAGAATGAACTTTTTTATAAAAAATATGAGATGAATGAGACACTCTACACATTTCGTAAGTTTTGATATTTCAGAAATAAAGTGTTGAAAATATTGTGCAAGTTTCATCATTTTCAGAAATTTGTAATTTTCTTCTCAGGTAAACAATTGCGTCATGAAGAGTACATACATTTCCAAGCATGAAATCAGGGTCACACAATTTGAAGTTATTTTAAATTTCTTTGATTTTATCGGGTCCCTTTCTGGTATCACATAGTTTACCAAGTCCTGGGAAAAGAACCATTTTCAGTTGCTCAATTTATTCCGGCATGCATGAAATAAATAATTTTACTCTGATATGGATTTGGTTGAAAAAGAAAAATGTAGGGGCTTCTGTGATGAGTGTTTACGTCTCTTGCAGTGATAATAGCAAAGGCAAACGACGAGGCATGCGTTGGATCAGATTCTGGATCACATTTTGCGAAAAATTTTCCCATTCTTGTACCAGTATCTCGTGTAGCTCTCTAGAAATTCTGGGAGCCGGCACATGTTTCCATAAATTTTCTTGAGCTAATCACAAATATGCTCAAAGGTATTTGAATCCGCACTGTGCGCAGGCCGAAAAAATCTCGTGAGTTGAACTTCGTGAAGACGTCGGGGCCGTGCATTATCATGCATACATGTTGCGTCGTGTCCAAGGAAGAGCATATATGATGGGACACGGTCTTGTAGAACATCCTCCAGACGGAGACGAACTTCGTGCGATCTTTCACGTATTGTTCTTTTAGATGATTCGTGCGATCGTCAAACGTTAATCCTACCCATGTCATGAACGATCCGCCACCAAATGGAAGTCGCTAAGTAATACACGCTTAAGCATATATTTCGCCTGGTGTCCATACTCATACACGTCTACCTGAGCCCGTGAGGTAGAATCGCGACTCTTCGCAAAGTAACTCAAGGTCGGAAAAATACTACAACAGCACGGATTCACCCCTTAATTGTCCACTCACTTCTGTTTACATTCCATACTTCTTGCAGGTGTCTTCCAAAGGGAAATTTTCGCAACTGCTCAGTTTCTGAAAACACTAGATACGAGAAAACAGACGTCCCTAGCTGTTGCAGTTCTGCCTCGCCCTGAACCAGGTTTTCGAGTTGGCAGACCAGTTTCGTGGAACCGCCACCATACTCGTTACAGACTCGCCTGTGTGTGGTGTTCAACGAATCAAGATCGCCACAATTCATCACGAACTTGGGTCTTCCATCGGGTTGGAAAACATTTGTTTGGTTCACCGGCAGGATGCGCCAATTTCGTCTGTGTGTGGAGGAGAGAAACCGTTGGTCGGAATTTTCCCTAGTATTTGTGGTGATATGGCGAACGGAAAGTTCTCCAAATTTCTTTCAGTAGTTAGGTAGCGAAGTGTAGCAACGACCCGATGTTCCGCCGATATCGACTTCCTCATGTGAGTTTTTTTGATATGTAGTAACAAGTGCCACTTGATATTCGAATTATGTTTCGGTCATTGTTGAATAATTGGTTTAATATTTCGCACTGTTCTCCTTAAGATGATATTAGAGACTGAAGTGAAACTAGTTCTCTCTCACGAAGCCAATGCTTGGTCCATTGCGATCTTTTCTTCTTTCTTGTAAAACCTCTAAAATCATATAATAGAACAATAGCAACTGCAATCTTCGAAGAACACATCCTCACTGCTGGTAAGAAACTGGTGAAATGGTGAACCGTTATCCATATTTTCCTCCACTGTGTGCAGGGATTGACGAACCAGGAACTTGGTTTACCGAACCATTTTCCAAAGCCGCCACAATGAAGAATGAATTGAATGGAATTTTCATTTGGTTTAATGAACATGAATTGAAGCTGAATCTCAATAAATACTCATGAATGAATATTTCCCTGAGACGGGTATCATATTCGTGTCTAATTGGTCGAAATGTCATTTTGATTTTGTAGATATACAAGTTTAAGTTGTACATGTATATTTGTCTGATATCGAGTAGCTTCGAGTCAATGAAGATTTGTTCAGAAGAATAGTCATTAATTTTCTGGAACATGACTTTAAGTATTTTTCTCTGTAGTATTTCCACTTTCTTGAGGTGGATATCTTAAATACCACCCCAGCTCAGTATAACTTACTGGAATCCAGATTTCACTAAGGCGTAAAATATTAATTTGAGTTGATTGATATCGAGGATAGATCTCAATTATTTAAATTTATGTAGTATGCATCTTAGAGATTTCGAGATCTGGTTTATATGTTCATTCTACCTAAGATGATTATCTATTGTAATTCCCAGGTATTTAATTTGGTCTGCTCGTGAAGATTCCATGTTTTTTTTGTAATCATTGCGAACGGCAAAAGCTTGATTTTTCCAAGTTAATCGTGAGTGACTTGTGATCGAACCAATATTTTAATGTTATGATTTGATTTCCAACTTTGGTTTTCAAAGTACTCGAATTTTCGTCGGTGTTAAGTATGGCTGTATCATCAGCAAAACTGTAAATATAAAACAATGAACTGAATTGAATCCTAGAGAAACTTCTGTATATGAACTACATTTTTTTTGGAGTAGATAGCCAAAATCACTTTTCCCAAATGAAAACGACATTTCCTCAGCAACGATTATCGTTATGAAATATATGATGAAATCGGCCGATATTTAATGAAAATCGTATTCAAAAATAAACTTCTTTATGAGATTTTTACTAAACGGTTTCACAAAATCGTAACACGTGTTTCTTCTACGGACGTGTCTTTACACGCCCTTTTCACACGCCGGGAGAAGCCATTGTATGGCGAAACACGTGTTGCGTTTTTGTGAAACTGTTCAGTGAAAATTTCACAATGGCGTGTTTTTTGAATATATCATCATGAAGTGAAAATGTTGAAATGAAATTGAATTTCCGTTTGGGAGAAATACATGCAAGAGCGTAAATGAAAGTTAGTTTGAGAACTGCACAAAAAATCCTGTTTGAAATTGAAACAATGATGAAAATGAACGTCGTCAGAAGTTGACAAACTAAACACGGAGAAGATACATCTGTTTCCTTCATACACAGGTACACACACTTTCTAAATAATTTCACCCGCTCTCCCATCATTTTACGACGAAAACGAAGGAAAACGGCCGAGAACATCATCGCCTTCACTGCGGAAAAATATAAAACTCACCACTTAACCCAATTACGGTGTTCATCCAAGATATCTCCAAATCAGCTCTCCAGCGTCCGGCAACCGTCGCAATCCAGGCTTGAATCAAATTGATTAGAAGGAAGAGACCGCTGGATCAAATAATCAAGCGGGCTTTTCCAGCTGACATGTTCAGTTACATTGTGAGAATTTCTGCAAACGGCAACTGCATCCTTTTCTATTTCCTGGAATGCGAAAGGAGAGTTCGGGGGTCATTATAGCTGACGTAGGCGGCGCTACGACTTCGGAAGCGACGTAGTCGCTCGTCTCACGACATGCTTCGTTGTGGTGAGCGAGTATAGTGGTTTTTTTATTTTTTCTTATGCGCTCTTGCCAGTTTTTCGGAAATGTTGAATTCTCAAACTTCTCGAAATGGTTCAGGACTGTTAGATACTCCAAAATAGGTCCATTCAATGAATAATTTACAGCTTGCAGATTTTTTTCAGACCTTTATTTCGTACTGATCTTGACCCCATTGTAATAAATATAATTCCTGACCAAATTTGTTGAAGGAATTGGCAAATTCAACGCGGTGGAACGGGTGCTATAAGAGTTGCATGAAGCCTCAAATAGGGACATATTTCTGTAAATGAACCAAAATGAACAATGCAATAACTGTTAAAATCTTTTGCTCAGCGAATTTGTGTCTGCATGAATCACGAAGCATAATTTCACACATATACCTGATAGACCGTTTCTGCAGTACTGATGATGAATTGCATACTACCCAAGACGGTTTTTTATAACGTAGGTGGGATTCAACGAGGGCGTAATATACCGTTCTGGCAGTTTTAATTCCTAAATTTATTGAAGTTACTCTCACTGCATAACAAATTTTACTTTCAAGTTGTTCAATATGCTCAATAAATTCGAGCTTGTTGTCAATGTGAATACCTAGAAATTTAGATTGAGTCTCGTTCTTGATCACTAAGTTACCACCATACGACAGGTCATCAAGAGCACATCTAAATGATAAAATGTTTGTTTTAGTGATATTGAAGGATAGCAAATCAGTATCACACCACTTCTTGATTTTTTTCATGTCAGTTGATAATGCATTATGTAGATCATTTGAGTTTTTGTAGTTCCACAATATCGTCGTGTCATCAGCGATAAAAATGAAATTTCCAGAAATTTGCAATGTCATTGACATATAATAAGAATAAGATGGGTCCAAGAACTGATCCTTGTGGAACACCACACAAAATTTCCCCTTTTTTTTCTGAAAGTCCTGTTGTTCCTCACCATTTGATTCCTCCCTGAAAGGTAAGATTCAAACCATTTGAGCGTCATTTCTCTGCAGCCGTATTGGTGAATTTTTCTTAGCAAGATCTTATGATCAAAGCAATCAAATGCCTCAGAAAGATATGTCCGAAGTAGCATTGTTTCTAAGATACAGGGCGTTGAAGTTCAATACACAGGGTATTAATGAATTGTCATAAAAATTCTTACATCGATTCGGTTGGAATTTGCTAAAGTTATCCAAAGGGGCTTTATTAGCCCCAACTAAATCGAAATTATTAGGTCCGGTGGAGTCTTAGTGGGCAACAGAGCCAACAATATTACGAAAAAAGTTCGCCAGTGACTTACTGTTGTAGTTTTCTATTTTTTCCAGGTTATTCAACTGGAAATACAACTTTTTTGTCGCTTGTGTTTTCTCCATATCTAGCTACGCTTTCGAGAAAAAAAAACTGAATCCACTTTACCTATTTTGAAGACCAGCTGATGGTGATAGTGTCGTTATATAAGTGAAAGTCAGCTGTGAAAATTAGTAGTGATTCTGT